CTTTTAATATAGGCTATACATACAAGTTGGAGACTTCAAATGCTCATTTTTGTAATATCTTCATTTTTTAATCCATAACTTACCTCCTATTAAGATGATTGTTTGATATATGGGGAAAAACTTCCCTATCCTTACATGCCTTTGGACTAGCCCAACCAAGAGAAATCAAAGTTCATAATAATGTAGGTTATATGAGTAAATCTCTTTTAAATTCTAACTTTTCAATGTTTGAAATGGCAGAAAAGGAAAAAGTAAATATAAAGAAGAAATGGAAGCAAAATATCGAGTTACTAAAGAAAAAGAAAGAAATGCTTTCTCCTATTTATTAAGATTCACCAAGGTGATGCTTTGCATCCACTAGGAGCTCCTAAGCAAGTAGATCAAGAGTCACTGTTGCTTCGCTGGGGTCAACAAATGCATCCAATTAAGCAATACCAGGAAAGTAAGGACTCGGCTGTAAATGTGGCCGGACAGTTTGAAACCGAATAACCTCACTAATAGGGGCTATTGTTCAGCGTGGAAGTTCCCATTTTCCAATCAGGAACATACAGCCCTCTCTGAGCTCTCGCCGACTGATCCCTTCCCACCTACGGCTCAACAATCTGCCACCAGAGAGGGGCTTTTATTACCTCCCTTCCCAGGAAACGTTAGGCAACTTCTTAGGAAAGCCACCCGAATGCAGAGATAGACCGCAGAGGGGCACCCCTCAGGAATCCACAGGTCCAAGCCTAGCCAGGTTTTCTTTTTAACAGGAAAGCAACTTTGACCAGACACCTATTGACCAGGACCCCCCCCCCCCTCGCCCCCCATAACCTGGCTCAGCCTGCTCGCTCCTCTCGGCAGCCGCCTGCAGCGCTCGGCTCCCTAGCCATCCCTCTTCATGCTTTATTTAGCAGGCGACGAGTCCGCGCGCTAGGTCCCCACACGGTGTCCAAGGTTGGGGCCGTCTTCCCATCTGGGGAGAGGCTCCGGCCAGGGACCCAGCATTACCCCGTTCACTGGGTCCGGGCGGGCACCCTCAGGTCAGCTTGCAGAGAGCGCGTGTCCCTGCCAGAGCTCTGGAAACGGAGATGCTAAGAGCCGGGTTGTACGTACCCAGCAGAGGTACGCACTACAGTTCGTGTGCATTTTTTTCCCCATTAGGCTTCCTTCTTTAGCGCTGTGTATGTCTCGGACTACACTGAACGTTCAAAATTATATTTGGTGTAAATGCATTGCATGCATTTGGTGCAGACACTTGAAAGCTTGGGCAACTTTGATGTTTTCGGTTATAAATCCCTAATTGTATTTAATGGTTACAAATGGCTTTATTTACTTATGGCTGTATCTACACATTTTAATCTATTAACCAAACGGTGGAGGTATATCTCACTCTCTACACCCCTAAAAGGGAAAGCAGGGATCCAGACCTCTAATTTGCTTTTAAGACCTTCCGGGTTTTTTGGTTGCAAAAATGTAGGAGCTCCAGATCTGAGCATTGATTATTCTTCAAACCCGCCTGCAAAAAAGACTCCTTTTCCCCACTCCATCTGAGGAGACCTTGATGTATATTGTAGCTGCAAGGTGTTAGATATACTTGAGCAAGTTGTTCCCAGGATGTAAATTAGGTCCCAAAAGCTGTTGTCCAAATCGAAGAAACAGAGAAATTAATCTGGGAGACTATCCATCATCACTGGTAATAAAGAAAGCGACATGGATGAGACAGATGATATGATTAAGGGGCTGTGGTCGTTTTAATTAACTTTTTGCTGTCCTGTAATGATCAAACTGGTCACCAGACCCGGTCAATAAGCATGTTAATATCAAACAAATAAAACCAGGGATGATTAAAAACCTCCTGGTTTATTAAATTTGAAATTCAAATGAAATTTATGCTGCAGATGCATACAGAATGCTAATAGATTTTAGCTTTATTGATAGTGGATCCCACAGGTTTGCAAGAAACAGCAGAATATCCATTTACCCCTTTCCCAGCCAGTACATCAAACTTCATATGGGGTGGGGGAAACTTCTAAATGATGTTAGAAAACCTGTACTTGCTATTTTCCTTTCCCCTCCTCTTCCAAACATCTTTATTATCATGATATGAAATTCAAGAATAATGACCAAGATCACAAAAGGTAAACTGAACTCTACCCTAAAATGCTTAGACAGGTTGGCTGTATTTGCCAGGGTCTATAGTTGTTCTTTGCTGTGGGACAGGATTCAGATGTGGTGGGATCACTTCTCCAAGTGGAGAAAGTGCTTCTCTGAGACTAGCTTCATTTAAACAGAAAGCAAGATTATGACTGCTTTAATTTTTGGTCAATTACATCATTCTTTTTGTCTTTTCCTTTAATTCTGCCACATTATACCTTATGGTACAAACATTACACATTTCTTGGGGGCACAGAAGAGAAACAGTGGAAGAAGAAAACAGATCTTCAGCCAATGCTACTATGAAATAAACAGCTCATTTTCATAATGAGAGTAAGTGGAATATCTATCTATATCTATAGATGTATTTGCACATATAAACCTTTGAAAATCCCCAAATGCTTCAAACCAACCTTATGTAAATTGAAGAATTCAGTATTTTCATTAAATCCACACTAACATTGTGACTTACTGTCTTAAGAAGAGTGACATGATTCTAAGGTGAATTTACACAAATGAAAAATGTTAGAATTAGGTAGTTCAAAACTGCAGTCACACGATGCTGAGTTTTTCTAATTCCTAGCATTTTTGAGGAAACAGTGGTTAACGGCTGTTTACTCTCAGAATCCGTATTTAAGTGTTTAATAGTCCTGCCTCTCTTCCTTCCAGAAGATAGGAGGATAAAAAGATAGAATAACTATTCATAGAAAAGAGTCTTCCTTCAAAGCTTTTTTCTCCACCTTTGAGGGTGACAGTATTGATTAGAATTAAACCTCAAATTTGAACAACTGTATATTAGGTCCTTAAAATGAATATTATTATAGAAGGATACCAAAGCAATGAAGTTAATTCTCTTTTATTTGTTAAACGGAGTTCCCTCCTTCCCCCACCCCTTCCTCCTTCTGGGCTGGCCTGTCACGCCTTCTCAACACGCTAAAATCATTCAGAGCGGCTTGGAGGGAGAAACACGACATTTATGGTAAGCGTCAGCCTTCAGAAAAAGAAAGCAGTTCATTAATATACTTCACACTTACTTTAAAGTATGAATGTGTACCTTATCCCCTTAATCAATAGATATGATGTACAGTCAATATCCCTACATATTAAAAAGAAGTCAGGAATCCAAACTTTCACACCACAAATGGCCTCAACTCTGCTCAGTGAAATTTACACCAAGGAAGCAACCTGACTTTGGAATTCAGTAAACCCCAGAGAATTTTTTGACATCCTTGAGGAGGGTTCAACAGCAACAATAAAATAAGAGTATTTCCCCAGTCAGAACAAAACAGTTCTCCCACCTAGTCACATTTTAATCAATTCCAACTTAAAAGTAGACTTCTGAGAGCATTTGTAGCTGCTTAAAAATATGAATTACTGTGGTATAAAAAACATGAATACTCAGTAGAGCTCCAAGGACTCTGAACTTTTTGCTACACTGGTGTGCTTCCCGTGGTTTAAGAAGTTCCTTTCTGGTGGCAGGGAAATTGTAATTACATTTCTGAAGGCACTTAATAACACAAATAGCAAACAAGTGACTAAAACCCACCACATTTCAACCAAGTTTGTATATTAACATGGACATATTAGTAAACCTCCGGCCCAAACTTCGTTAGACAGAGATGCCTCCATAACTACAGTCCAAGCTTTATCAAAAGCTTGTGTCTGTTTTTGCATAAATAGAAACCACAGATTTCAATCAAAGCCTGATTGTTCTCCCCTCAATAAGGTTTCCTGTGAAAACTTCTAAATTCTGTAACACACTCCCCTCTTTCTTACTCGCAGGAAAAATAACCCTCTCTTGCACCCTTCTCTAATCCTTTTGTATTGAAATTTACTCAACACCGCGGGACAAATATACCTCCTCTCCTAGAGTGAGACTTGCACTTCCAAAGCAGAAGCCCACCTCAGAAAAAAGAAAAGGGCGGGGGGGAGCGCCTTCACATCAAAGTGACAGGGGTCCAGGCGCACACAGCCTCCCCCCACCCCCCGCCCCCGAAAAAAACCTCTCTGCCTTCCAATCTCTTTCTTATGTAGCTGGAAAGTCACGAAGGGAAAGGTTAAGTTTTTTTTTCCTACAAAAATGTGACAGTAAGAGAAGACAAAAAAAAAACCCTCAAGATTTTAAAGGGAACACAGGAAGTTGGTGACAGTGGTAGCATTTGTGAATATTTGTTTACCCAGCCTCACTCAACTTTGCAGCCAGTTTCACTCTTCCAATCGCCAATCTCCCTCTTGCGCACGAACACTTTATTGTCTTGTTCCTATTCCCCACCCCCAGCTTTGGTGCTCGCGCGCGCGAGAGCGCGCACACACACACACGGGCGCGCGCACACCTTCCCTCTTCTTTGGCACAAGCGCACATATTCGCACCCCCTTCTCCTCCCACGCCAAACACATATCCCTCCTCTCCTCGCTTTGCCGCGGTGACCCTCTTCCTCGCCTGGGCTTGTCGCACTGTTACATGCGAGTGCACTCTCACCCTTCCTCCACACTTTCCTGCACGGCCCCTCTACGCACCCCTAGTGTAGCACACGCAGTTACACAGTACACACAACACCCTCCTTTGGTGCGCTCTCTCCTTCCCCCTTTTACAGTGTCACTGTTGTACTGTCACAATGGCACCCCCTTCCCCATCTCTGTGCTGCGCTCTGGTTCCCACTCGCACAATTGCACTGTTACACACACACACACACACACACACACTCACGCACGCACGCACTTTGCAACACACGCCTCCCCCCCGCCCGGCGGCGCAGATGACCTCACGGCGCGCGCGCGGCGCGGCCCGGCGAGCCCGCAGATTGGCTGGCTGCGCCTCCGCGGCACTTCAAAGCCGGAGAGGGAGCTACAATTGTGGTGGAATGGGCGGAACTGATCATTGTATTGCACACCTCTAAAAAAAACACTGCCTCTGATTTATCAATATAAAAAAGATCCTCTGAGAGGAGGAGGGCACTTTTGTGTGATGGCAACTTCACTTCTAGGGGTGAGTCTCAGGATTTTCTCTTGCTGGTTTAATTAGTTTCCTTTTATTGCTGATCGGAGGGGGTTAAAGTCGCCCCGGCCAGGCCACGGGCTATCAGTCTCTCTATTGAGAGCTTTTTTTTTTCTTCTTTAAATACAAGCGAGTTTGGAGAAAGAAAGGGGGCGAGGGGGGCCGAGTCACTTTTTTCAGCACAGGAAAAGGTTGGAGGGGCATTTAGCCGAGCCACCTCTCCGCGCCTGGCCGCTCCCTGCCCGGGAGACTCGCGCCCAGCCCACTTTACAGGCGACGATCTCGGGGGTAAAGAGAGCAAGGTTTTTCTCCTGGCCAAACCGCAGATTCACCTCCTTCCCCTTTAAAAAAAAAAAAAAATCGCAGCCCGCCTTGTCTTGCAGGTACGTTGAACTCTTTTTTACTCTTGTAGATAGACTTAGGGGGGAAAAAAGCAGGAAGAGCGAGTGAGCCTTCCAGTTTGACCTCTTTTGGCCTGGAAGAAACAACCCGGGATGGGTTTCTGGGGTACAGGATTTTTCAAAGCTCTCTCTGGATTACAGGGGAAGCGCTCTTAAAAAGCAATCCAAATGCTTTCGCCCCATGTTTGTCGGCAAAGGAAACTTCCTTCCTCCCCAATCTGGACTTTTTGGTTGTTTGCTTCGAAGTGTCTGGGGCCTTCTGTGCACAAGAGTGTTGTTTTAGGTGAGAATACTTGTCAAACTCTTCCTTAGCGTGGCGCTTTGCTGCGGAGTCAGACGCGGGCAGCCCAACTTGTCCCCTCCCGTAGAGTAGGAAGCCGCCGGGTGCCGGGGCTGTTGGGGGCGCCAGGTGAGTGGTGGCGGCGCCGCAGCGAGAGATCGGGCGCAGCGGGGCGTCGCGGAGGCTACCGCCGGACTAACGCGCGTCTCTCCCTCCCTCCCCCGCCGGCCCTTCGCCCCCCACCCCTCCCCCACCTTCTCCTCTCATTCCCGCAGGAAGAACCGAGGTTGGGATCCACTCCTCTGGCCATGCTGGCTGCTACCTGTAATAAGATCGGCAGCCCCAGCCCGTCTCCCTCCTCCCTCTCGGACAGCTCTTCCTCCTTCGGGAAAGGCTTCCACCCCTGGAAACGCTCCTCGTCCTCCTCCTCCGGCAGCTGCAACGTCGTGGGCTCCAGCCTCTCCGGCTTCGGCGTGTCGGGGGCCTCCCGGAACGGCGGCTCGTCTTCAGCGGCGGCGGCGGCGGCGGCGGCCGCGGCGGCGGCGGCGGCCCTGGTGTCCGACTCTTTCAGCTGCGGCGGCTCCCCGGGCTCCAGCGCCTTCTCGCTCACCTCCAGCAGCGCCGCCGCCGCCGCCGCCGCCGCCGCCGCGGCCGCCGCCTCCAGTGCGCCCTTCGCCAACGACTACTCGGTGTTCCCGGCCCCCGGCGTGTCGGGGGGCAGCGGCGGCGGCGGCAGCGGCGGCGGCGGCGGGTCCTCGGCGCACTCGCAGGACGGCTCGCACCAGCCCGTGTTCATCTCCAAGGTGCACACCTCGGTGGACGGGCTGCAGGGCATCTACCCGCGCGTGGGCATGGCGCATCCCTACGAGTCGTGGTTCAAGCCCTCGCACCCGGGCCTGGGGGCCGCGGGCGACGTGGGCTCGGCCGGCGCCTCCAGCTGGTGGGACGTGGGCGCGGGCTGGATCGACGTGCAGAACCCGAACGGCGCGGCGGCGCTGCCCGGCTCGCTGCACCCGGCCGCGGGGGGGCTGCAGAGCTCGCTGCACTCTCCGCTCGGAGGCTACAACTCGGATTACTCGAGCCTCGGCCACTCGGCCTTCAGCAGCGGCGCCTCCTCGCACCTGCTCAGTCCCGCGGGCCAGCACCTCATGGACGGCTTCAAGCCCGTGCTACCCGGCTCCTACCCGGACTCTGCCCCATCGCCGCTGGCCGGCGCGGGCGGCGCCATGCTGAGCGCGGGGCCGTCGGCGCCGCTGGGGGGCTCCCCGCGCTCTTCCGCCCGCCGCTATTCGGGCCGGGCCACCTGCGACTGCCCCAACTGCCAGGAGGCAGAGCGGCTGGGCCCGGCAGGAGCGAGCCTGCGACGCAAGGGCCTGCACAGCTGCCACATCCCGGGCTGCGGCAAGGTGTACGGCAAGACGTCGCACCTGAAGGCGCACCTGCGCTGGCACACGGGCGAGCGGCCCTTCGTGTGCAACTGGCTCTTCTGCGGCAAGCGCTTCACGCGCTCCGACGAGCTGCAGCGGCACCTACGGACCCACACCGGCGAGAAGCGCTTTGCCTGCCCCGTCTGCAACAAGCGCTTCATGCGCAGCGACCACCTCAGCAAGCACGTGAAGACGCACAGTGGCGGCGGCGGCGGCTCGGCGGGCTCGGGCAGCGGCGGCAAGAAGGGCAGCGACACCGACAGTGAGCACAGTGCAGCGGGCAGCCCGGCCTGCCACTCCCCGGAGCTGCTGCCGCCCCCCGAGCCCGGCCACCGCAATGGCCTGGAGTGACGCGCGCGAGCGCTCATGCCTCCCACCTGGCTGCGCCCAGGCCTCGTCTGCCCTGGCCTCGTCTGCCCTGGCCTCGACTCCAGCCTCTCTCCATGCACCCTGCTCGCTCTCTCACTCGTTCTTGTCTCTGTCTTTCTCTCCCCCCCCCCCCGACTTAACTCTGTAAAGGGGATATGGACATGTAAGTAACACGCCTCGGTGTCCCAGGCCACGGCTTTCCTTCACCACGGGAAACCTCTCCTGAGTCCCTCCTCCAGCCCCAGGTTGCCATAACTTTCACAGGGCGGCGACCATTGGAGTTAGATCTGGACGAACCCAGTGCCTGGGAGACCAAGGGATCTCCGAGTCGAACCGCCGGGCGGGCTGCGCCAGCCTGAGCCTGAGTGAGGAGGGTGGAGCGGGAGATGAGGCAGCCGGGAGGGCATCCCCGACCTTGCAGCCTGGTTCTTGAACCGAAGTCCTGGGCAACGGAGGCAAGGAGCGCCCTGCTTGGGCGTCGCGCACTGCGCAGGGAGTCGGAGCTTCGTGGGGTGCCGGTCTGGCGGTACCTAGAGGGGAGAGTTTGCAGAGTTTAGCTTTCCCAACCTCGGCTCTGCTTGCTTTTCTTTGTTCCCTGAGGTGGAACTGATGCAAGTTTCAGCAAAGGGCAGTCTTGGCGTATCGGTGGTGCAGCAGCCTTTCATCTTTATAACGTTTTTTAAAACTAAAAAACTAAGAGGACAAAAAAAAAAGCAAGTTTCCACTTAGTTTCCCTTTTAGATAGTTTTTTCCTCTGCCAGTAAGCACGTCTTTCAAAACTGTGCTAATATTGATCCCAAAGTTATTTTGATCACAGTAATTTAACGGATGGGGTGGGGGCGGGGTGAGGGTAGGTGTGTTTTTCTTATGCAAAAATACCCCTTTCCGGTGAAACCAGATTAATTATCTTCGTGTTTGTCCTTTTCTACCTCGGTTTTCACCACTCCCTAGCTTAATCTCCCAATCTTTTTTTTTTTTTTTTGTTCAGAGGTCGATTTGTATAGTACCCACTCCTTGTAAATTCTTACAATTCACTGAAGATTTTGGGGTTAAACTTTTTTTGTGGTTGAAACTTAAAACAAGTGAAGACCTATCGTTTATATCAAATGAGGCTGTAGATTAAATGCCAAAAGAGGGAAATTGGAAAAAAAGAAAACTTTGTAAAATATATCTGAACCTAATGGTTTGTAAAACTGGAGAATCGTTCTAGATTAGTTACCAATTAAATATAACTCCACCAGTGTGAGGGTGTGAGGTGCAGTTGTCCAGGAGACGATTTTGTATAGTATTTTTCTTGTATATTACTTCCAGTAAATATTTGAAAATATATTGAAGTAAACTTGATTTTTTTTTTTTTGGTCACAGAAAATATTAAGAGTTATTGTTGCGGTTCTGATGAGCTGCAGGTTTTCTGAACTCATTTCTGGAGGTGCAGAGCCAGAAACGCACTTTCGGGGCCTAGTTTTGCTTGACTATGAATTTAGATAGATATCAAACTGTAACTAAGACAATATTTGATAAATGTTGGGTGACATTTAATTTAATGGAGCATGTACTTATTTGCATTTGCTGGCAGTTCAGGCATAGTTAAAGTGAAGAGTTCTCCTATATTTCATAATAACTGGGTCTGCCAGAACCCATGTATTAAATAAATTGTCCAAGTGAAACTCGACTAACTTTGGCCTTTGTGTATTTCCTGAAGGTAATATTGTTAACTGTTCATAAACACTCCTGACACCACATTTAAATGTTTGCAGATTTTGCAAACTAATTGCTCATTGTAATGTTGAAATAATTTGGATATTTCACATTGAAATGAAAAGCCTTTCTCTGGAACATTTTAGACTTGCATTTTAAATGCATGAAATGTAATTGATTTATTTGTAATATTTTAAATGGTATTAATAAACTCAGATGAAAGACTAGGCCAGTAAATTTGTATTTTTTTCCCCCTTTTTAAGCTATGGACATGTGCATTTTTATCTTCAGTTTAAATGTCTAATTTAAAGAAAATATGACCCTGTTTTTGTGATAATATTTAAATAATTGCCTTTAAGATATTACTTAGATGGAAAGATCTATTTGGCAAAGCTGTGTTTTCTCTATTTACCAAGATAAAGATTATAGTGTCTAAGAAATGTAATTAATTATTTACCAGTAGATTTAGCTCATAGCATCAGGGTTAACTGACCTTGAAATTTGTACTAAATCACCAAATCAAAGAATTTTCCCCATTTTGCTTCCTTTGCAGTGTACAGAAGTCAGGTTGTTGGCCATTGATTGCATTTAGTATTTAAAAGGCCAAGACTTACATTGGAAGATCAATACATCTAAAATAAAAACATGGGTTTGGGGATAACTTTCGTTGTTAGGAAGAGGAGGAGGTCAAGCTAACAAAAGCTTGTTTTTTGCATTCCATGTCCTAGCTAAAGATTATGTAGGGGTAAATATCAATAGTAGATTCCTGTTGAAATGAGTTATCTATTCTTTTAAAGTCTCTAAACAGCCACCAAAGAAAAGGAAGGTTAAACCTTAATCTATTTACTAGGCTATTGTTCAAAGGTGTCAATGATGCCAATAAAAAATATTGTCTTGTTTTGTCTAAGTGCATTTAAGCAATGGGTGTTCCTTGAGCCATATTTTGAAACATAAAACACTTTAAATGTTGATTGATGTTATTTCAAATTCAATATTAGATTAATATTATTTTGAATCAAACTGAATAAAAAGTTAGTGTGTTCAGATTCTAACAAGTTTAGCTTCTTTCTTTCTGTTTGCCTTCCTCCCACCCTCAGTTCAGTCTTGGTATATACCATATTTTAAACTGAAAAATTTTCATTGAAATTTATGTAAAGTCATTATAATATGTAGAAACAAAAATGCAGAGAGCTGTGAGTGTTATGAATTCGGGTGGGGGGGGGAATAGGGCTTTTGGTTAAATATGTTTTAGAATAATACATATTGTGCCTAAGTAGCAGACAGCCTTAATCCTGCTGTCTGTGCAGATATTTGAGGCCTCCAATCCCTATGGTTTTAGACAAAAAGTTAGCTCTCATTCTTTGGTATACTATAGAGGTTAATAATGGTTATTAAAAATAAAATGGTCTTTTTCTGTCACTTTCTTCCTAGGAATAACATGCAGAACACAGTTTAAGTGTTGTTTCTTTTTTATTGAAAATTGCAGTGCAGAGGGATTTGGAGAGAACGGTTCTGAAGGAGTTAAATGTAGTGGCAGGTAAGAGGAAAGCTGCTTGGTACATGTAAAATATCAACGTTCTGAGAAATGGGTTACGAGAAAAAGAGATGTCTGAAAGATTTCTTTGGGGTGGTCAAAGGGGGACTAATTTTTTTTTTTTTTGTCCTATAGATGTATAAACTTTCACTTTCTTCCTTCGGTTCTTCCTAAACCTTTGGCTTTGCTTATTTGTTTTGATGGGCGATGAGCAGTATTTTTTAGATTAGTTTTCTACAGGGTAACCCTCTTGGGGATGAACATCCTTTTGGGGGACAACAAGATGAAGTGCAAAAGTGATTTTTTTCTGCTTTGTCTGATAAAGCACTTACCAGTGGCTGGAGGTTCACTCAGATGAACCCAGAGTCTGGGTCTCACTTTGAACCAAAGGACAAGCTTCTAGTCTTGCAGATCAAGGTAGAGTCAAACTAGTTGTTGACCCCAGAGGTCAGGCCAGCATGTTTGAGCCCATCCTTCAGAGACTGGAAAAGGGCTGCCTGGCTCAATCCAATCTTTCTATTTCCTTTCTCATCTCTTGTCTAAAGTTGAGTGTTTCTTGCCTATCCTCCTTTCTTTTCTTTCTTTCTTTTTTTTCCCTGGCTCCTTCCTGACCTCTCTTTTTGAAACTTGGTATACTTAGGTGCATATAAGGTAAGGCTGAACTACAACTAAAATATTTTTTGCTAGAGATTTAATTTAAACAAATGTGATTCACTCTCCTGATGCTGAAAAAAGTTCCTGGGTGGATTTGCCTTTCTTCCACTCTCCTCTTACCCTAGTGTTGCCGTAACTTCTCAACTGAGCTTCCCTTGGGTAGAGAATGCTAAAATTAAAAATTAAAGACAAGCAAGTGATGAGACTGGACTCCTGAGTGGGCGGATCGATAGTTCTACCATCAACATTTTCATCTCCCTGTGGATCTTCTGGTGAGATTATTGAATGGAATGTTATGGAAGGCCTGTGAAGGAATTTATTTAAAATAAATAATGTATTATCGAGGATTAGCTTAAAGGTCAGATGATCTTTTTGGCTAGTAAATTAAGGTAGAAACCTACAGGGAAACAAAGTATAGATTTGATTATTCTCAGGTTCCTAATATATATACATACACATATATAATATACATATAGAGATAAACATAATAAAAGGATGTCTACATTTTATTCAGTTTTTCAAATAGCCTTGAAGTATTGATTTGATTCAGTTATTTTGAATAAACTGGTTTTAAATTTTCCTACTGATTTTTGCTGCTTCTGTCTAGTCATCATTTCTCTCTTTACTAAAATAATTGCAGGTATTACCAATGTGTGTTCTCTCTCATTTCTCCCTCCTTCCTTCTATGATACAGCCCATTAATTCCATCACTGTTTTTCAAGGAAATGCTGTTGTGTAAGGAATCAAAGGAGAGTAATGTACTCATTTAAAGTTTTTCTTCTCAGTGACATTTTTGGGGAAGACTTTGCTCAGTACACAATTGTTGCTGTTATTTAAAAAATACTAAGATGCAGAACTCTTTCGCGCCCTTTTTATTTCCTGCTTCCGGAGCAAAGGAAAGCCGGTAATTTCTTGCTGCCCTGGACCCCAGCCGCTGCGGTGGCAGGGGACGCGTGTCAGGGGCCATCTCTTCACATTCGCCGCACTCCCGACCAGCACAAGTGTTGATTTGGTACAGCAAGGGGGAGCGGGGACCTATTTTCTTTAGTCCCTGGGCGCGTGTTTAATTTAATTTTCTGTGGAGTCTCCCTGCGGCAGGGAAGCAGCCTTCTCCGTTTGCTTTGGTTCCTAAGGGCAGTCGGGACTCCAAGAGCAACGGGGAGTGTTTGTGGTGACCTAGAACCGGGAGTAAGCGCCGGCGACAGCTGCTGCTCTTTATTGTCCTAAAGCCATTCTTTCAAGTTCATTTCCTGGGCTTCTGGTTGTAAGCCGGGTCCTCAACTCTGCCCCTCGGGCCGTAACTCCTGGCTGCCCCAGAGGGGCCGCTGGAGGCGTCCTCGGCCTCTCCTGCAGGGCCCCGGAGGCCGGCCGGTCTTTCCAAAGTTTCCGTGGTTCTCTTTTTAACTGGGGTTTGGAGGAGGCCTGGAGCCCGGGGAGGGGTGTTCCTACCCTGGGTAATGCCACCTTTTGCTCCCCCTTCCCTCCTCGACGTTCGGGGTGCTCTAGGGAAGACGCCCGAGACAGCCCGGTTAGGGTCCAGGCGGGAGAGCCGCGCGCTCGGCTCTTAGGTAGCAGCCGGGTGTGGAGCGGGGCCTGGGGTCTTCCGGGAACCTCAGCCGGTACCCGGGCCTGGGGTCCCTCTCGGGCTGCGGTCCCCTCAGGCTGCCGGCTGCGTTGCGCCGGCGCACACAAAGGCCGGGCGGCCGGCTCCGCCCGCTGCGCGGACAGCGAGCGCCACCCTGTGCCCTGCGCCCGTTCTGCAGCGCGCTGCGCGCGGGTCCGACTCGGCCTGCGCTTCTCTGAGACGCTGACCTTGGGCGAGCCCAGCTGGAAGCGCCGCGGTGAGCCTCCCCCGAGTTCGTCTCGGAGCTCTCGAGAGACCCGGCCGGCCAGGGTGGGGGAGTCCTCGCCCTTCCCCGCCCTTCCCCTGCTTGCTCTCAATCCTTAGGCCCTGCCGAAGCCCTGCGGCGTCCTAGCGCCTGGGGCCCAGGCCTCGGGCCCACACTTGACTGAGGGGCACGCCCCTCGCTGTGTCCTGCCGGTGCCACCGGGACAGGCCGAGGTCATTCTTCCCGAACTTGTTTAGATTTCTCCTCGGCTTTGCCCTCGACTTCCTGCCCTCCTTCACCTCCTGTGCTCTTTTCTTGGCCCCAACACCCCTGCTTTGTATTCACTCGTACCCGCTTCCTCTCGCCCAGGACGTTCAGTGCAGCGGCCTCCATGGGCGGGAAGTTTTACTCTTGTCGTTTTGTTCTGGGTTTGCCAGACTCGCACCTTTTCCCACACTGTTAGCTTAAAGGGAGTAAAATTGAGTCTGACTGGCTGTGAAAACATCCTGGCCTTTTAAATTCCAGGAGTCAAAGTATAGTTCCACCCCGGCGACTACCTGGGGGAAATGTTGATAGGGAGCTTAGAACTGCAGTACCTGTTGAACGGAACGGACTGTTCTTTAGTGCGTTGTACTCAGAACCCAACAACCGCTCTTGGGCTTCCTTCCCTTTTGGCCATCCTTACTGACCCTTGGGCAGCTGGAAATTTGGGTGCGCTGGCAACATTCTCCAGGGTATATCTTGGTTGCATCTGAAAGGAGGTAAGGGCTGTTGGAGAAGGTACCTGTTGCCCCCCAGGTTGACTGAGGAAAGGCTGCTGTTAAAACTTTCCCGGCCCTTGACACGTGTAGGCACCCCTTAAACCTGGCTATTATTGATGGTTATGCAGGCATCATCTATGTGTGTCTAAGGCACCGTGGAACGAGACCGCAGGTATTCAGGGAGTTCTCAGGGCTGCACACCTGTGAGTGACAGGGCTCTAGCCACGTCTGTCCTGTCGGGTTAAATGCACTGTTCCATTGACCCTGGTACCCAGAGCGGGGAAGGAAAGAGTGGCCTATCTGGTCTGCAGCGCGGCTCTGGCGCGCAAAGCCCCTGAAGCCACCTGTGGGTGCGATCTGGCAGCCAGGAGCTCCAGGATATAATTGACACGTCCGCCTCCGGAGCTGCCACCACCCTCCTCCCTCAAACCAGCTGGTGATGCGAGCCCCTACCCCACCCCCTCGCTCCGGGGTCCGGAAAGCCGGGCAGCACTGGAATGCCGCGTCCTCTCACCCTATTGTGCCTAGGTGTTGCAAACCACTGGAGGACAGACCTTCGCGCTTTGATCTCTTGTCTCAGTCATTCTTTAGCACAGAGGGGTGAGTTTAAATTAAATTTCTTTCTCTGCAGATAAGTTCTAATGGGCCTCAGAAGGTGAATAATTATGCAGTAACATTTCATGGGTTGTTGGAGTGGGAATTCCCACTGCGCTGTCACCAGGAACAATTTCCCTCGTATGCTCCAAGCTAAATGAAGCTTCTGGAGAAAGCTACAAGTAAGTGTCTTTCAAATCTCGGTGTAGAAGATCTGATCCATTCTCACTTTCACCTTTCTTGCCCCAGGAAAGAGTATCGTCCTTAAAAAAAAAAAAAAAAAATTCAAGTTCTATTAGTGGTTTAAAAATACTTTAAAAATCATTCCAAAAAAATCTTATTTTTAAGGATAAGAAAAACTTTGTTTTCATGATAAAATCAAGACAAATATACACTCATGAAAGGTAGGAGTCACATTTTCCCTGGAAAAAAGCAGACTACTACCTGGGGTTTGCTTCTGAGTACCTGGACTTTAGGCTTGGTACCTTTTTTGACTTCTTCTAGTGAGTGCTTTTTGTGCTTGATATCCTGAGACGGTCGGATATGGTGCTGCAGGAGTTTTAAATTTGATCACTAGTGTTCTGGACCCACCTGGTTTCAGAACCCAGGCAGTTCAGAAATGGACTTTCCATGGGGGAAAGTTAAAAGGAAAAATGACTTTACTGCTTCGTGCAAAGTAGACATCTACCTGTTAGAAAATGTCGACTTACTTCTTTGAGATTTTAATTTACATTTAATTTTCTCCCAAGCTAGATAGGAAACAGCAGCAGCTGTTTGGATATTGTAAGTGGGTCATGGCATTTTGATACTCAAAAGGAAATTAGACTCTTACCTAAATCAAAGAACTTAAAATTTGTAATTTAAAAGCACAATGGAACTCTTTATTGCTTTGTTTTTAAAGAAAATTCTTTATTCTCTATTCACACCATTGTTTCATTGCATAGCATTTTCCTGTTTACTTTTCTTCCCTTTAAATTTCTTCTCTTAAGTGAATTGAGCTCCCACAAGCTTTAAGATGTCTAAATCAACACATAGAAACTGGAGCCTGCTTATCAAGTTTTCACTCCTCTCTTGGCAACTAATTTGAAAAGGCCCAAACAATGAGTTGATTTACAGTATGCTCATTTCACCCTGAATTCTGCGTCAATGTTGAAAGACCCTTAATAATTCACCTTGGGTTATCTTTACGTCTATGGGGGAACCAATCCTTCCAGCTTTTAAGTTTTTTAGCCACTCCATTTTAAGTGCTGAAACAGAAGAAAGAAAGTAGATGTTTTTCTTTCCCCCCTAGAGTTCAAGTGATTGTCTAGTTCAACTGAAAATAAAGGATTTGTACTGCCCAATTTTGCACCCAATTTAATGCCCCTAATTATGCAGGCACCCTGTCATCAGGTTTCCCATCATTTCAGGAAGTTTTGTGCTCCTTCTTATATGCTGATCAATGCTTCATTTCTCTTTTACATACTTATCCCATATTTTAGCCTTTTTTCTTCCTTAAGCAGGTTCTTTCCCCCTTCAATCTGGCAAACAATTGCCTTTGCAAGGGAGGAGGAGTGGCAGGTGGAAATATATTTAAAGATGTTCACATTCATTTAGTGATGTTTTAAAAAAATATATATTATATATATACACGCTTTAACAGAATTTGTCTACCAACGTATGACAAATTTTTTAGAGGGAAATACTCTTTTTTATAACATTAAATTATATTACCTCCCAAACTTTAAGAAAATAACATTCATATAGGTGACACTTTGGTTACCTTTGTACTTTGAGGCAAATTAAATTCTGCCTTTTTCTTCCAGTGAGTAACTATTTGACCTAAAACTCCATGGTTAATTTTGGGTAAGGTACACATACCTTATGCTTACTAGGTCATCGATATTGACATATTTTAATGAATATCATGATTGAACATTGTAATAGTGATGAAGAGAGAGGAATAAAACAACCTTGTAAATATTTTGGTAGTACAAGATTGCATACTTTTTAGCTACATACACTTCATAGAAAGCATATAATATAATTTATCTAGTATATAATTATTAAATGAAACACATTGCTTAATGACATATTATGTTTTACACTTGATCTTAGCCAAAAGGCCGAGAAGTGATGACATATTGTGTTTTAAAATATATATCCTGGAAAAATCAGATTTAGTGATGTTTTTCCATTCTTAAAATTCTACCTGTTTTGCAGAGAAAAATATTGTTTTCACAAGAGGGATGTAATGCATGTATCCCAGATGTAAAGAAATGGTATTTATGTTTGTGAAGTGGTTTAGAACTGCTTTTATTATTTTATGCTCCAAAAGCACTGGCATTTTTTTTTTTTTACTTCCTTTTTAGGTGAACTTTTCATTTTGGAATCTTAGGTTAATAAAAAAGTTGTAAAATTAGTATATACAGTTTCTGTGAGTTTTCTTTCTGTTAACATTTTACATTATGATGGAATATTGTCAAATCTAAGAAATCAATAATAGTGTAGTTTAAAAAAATTTAAATGAAGAAGTAAAGTAAAAATATTGACTTTCTCATTAGACAGTTGTAGGATGAATCTTAGAAAAAGGTTAACCTCTTCCAGGTCTGCTTCCAATAATCAGATGGCCTGTGTACTAAACTAATAAGTAGAAGTGGTTTCTTTTGTATATAATTTCTTTGAATAAAGAATTTCTGAATTTTTGTTTTTTCATAGTTAAGCAAAATCTAAGAAAACGTATCTAGTTCCATTTTACATTTTTATTGTATGTATGGAAGCAACATATTAAATTTTGGGAAGAAATATGGCTAATATTTTCTCAAATTATCAAAAATATATTTTTAGCAAGATTCTATTTGCAGCCCATATCTACCTTTAATTCTACCATTTAAGATGACTACTCTATTATTTTACTCTTATAGTAAGTATAAAATACAAATAATCTAATGATTTCATTTACTTCCTCGCATATTTTTCAACTTAAATTTTAGAATATTTTTGCTAAGAAACTGAGTTTGTTAGAAAGCTTTAAAACCTAATGGTTGAGTCTTTTTTTTTCCTCAGCACAAGTTAAGTGTATCTTTTACATGCTATGAAGTAATAAACTTGCATGTGTTTTGTATTGTTTAAATAAGATTATAAGGAGTTCAGTGAAAGGGATAATATTCTCTATTAGAATATAGTTTCACTACACCTATGTGAAGATAAAATACAGGATACCCATTTAAACTTGAATGGTACTTTATTTCACTTTGCAGTTTTGGGGATTGGACCCGGGGCACCAGCATGCTGTGCAAGCCCTCTGCTGCTGAGCCCCCTCCACCCACAGTTTGAATTTTAGAAAAATAAAATTCTTTTCAGGCGTAAGTATGCCTCATGCCATTTTGGGATTATATTTATAGTAAAAACAATGTGTTAGTTTCTGATATCCAAATTTCAATGGATGGCTTGATATTCAATTTTTGGCTGTTGCGTTTTCAAAAAAAATTTATGTATCTATAAGGATAAAGCTGAAATCGGAAAGTCTGCATAAAAACAAAGTAGTGGCTATTCATGAAAATGTTCAGGGTCTAGCATTCTGTACTAATTTAAAAAGGGGAATGCAGGGCAGGAAGAGATTAGGGTTCATTCATTACCTGGAGAGTGAAATATAAAATTGATTTTCCTATTTACTCTTTTTTGTTTCTTCTTTCTCAGGTCATTTACTTAATTTTGAGCCATCCTTACTCATTTAGAACACTAGGAATATTCCTCTTCACTAGGGAACTTCACTTACCTAGCTTCTAAGAAAATAATATGCTGATTCTTGGTCAGCACTTCCATACTTCTTTCAAGTACAGTATTAATGCTGTAAAAAAAGGAGATATCTTTTAAAAAGTCTTAATTTCTATACAGTAGATGCATGCAGTTTTAACACAGCACTGAAGTTTTATTTCTGCACATTCGCTTAATCTATACTTCATACTCATTCCCTAGTTGAATTCTCACTGCACAAATGTAAACTTCTATATTTCTAGGAGTTTTAACAGGGGTACTATGTACCAAATTCATTTGTTATGTAGTCCATGGTTACAATGGAATACTCAGAAGTTAAAGCTCTCTGCACCAGGGCCAGGGGATGCAGCTCAGTAGCCCCACACCTGCCTCACAAGCGCAAGGTCCTGAGTTCCAACCCTGGTACCAGAAAAAAAAAATCCCCGAAGATTTTGAGCCAGACATGGTGGGATATGCCTGTAATCCCAGCACTCAGGAGGCTGAGGTAGGAGGATTGCCGTGAGTTCAAGGTCAGCCTCGGCTACATAGTGAGTTAAGGACCAACCTGAATCACAGAGACCCTGTCTCAAAAAACCAACCCCCGCCCTCCCAAAAAAGTTCTCTTTTCCCTTTCATGAATGTACTACTATGAGAAATGAGGCAATACCCATTCATTTATGCCATTTTCTCAACAAGCATCCATTACATTTATGTAGTACCTTGCTTTCTTGTGGTTCATTTGGGCTAGTAATTTAATTTTTCTACTTGTTTCCTATCTCTGACATTTATTGTTTGTGATCATCTCCAGAAATAACGAGTTAAATTCTATGTAGCTTATATTTAATACTGACTAGTAACGGGAAAGGGGGAAAGGACCCTGGGATCTAAGGTTTATTTATCTTACCTTCACATAGTTCATATATAGTAAGTATATCAGATAAATCAGAAAGAAAATACAGGCAACGTTTTACCCATAAACTGGGGATGTATCTAGGACCGAGTCTTCAAAGAGAGCCTCTCTCAGATTCTTCTTTTACCAGTAGATATAGTGATTACTCTGAGAGTTCAGAATAAACTGGAAGGTGGGAAGTTTATGAAAACTAATTTTGGAAACTGGCCTGATGGTAGCACTCACCAGGAAACTACGTTGTATATGGCCTCCTACAAGTTGTCTGACTTCATCCCTCCCCTCATTTTATTTAGTTTTGTAAAATCAATTAGATATTCATTTAGATTTTTCTTTTTTGGTGCTGGGGATCGAGCCCAGGGTCCTGCACATAGTAGACAAGCTAGGCAAGTGGTCTACCAGTGAGCTGCAAACCCAACCATGAATTAATAAGTATTTTAAAAAATACAATTACTTTTGAGAATTGTAAGGGAGGTGTTCACATACAAATACAGATTTTTTTTTCTAATCATATTACTACTCCCTTTCTAATTCAAAGACTTAACATTTCAGTAAAAGTTTGGTGTATGTCTGTAGTATGTCCAGCGCTAGGAATCAAACCCAGTGCTTCATGCATGCTGG